TATGGTGCCATGTTGCGGAAATATGGCCTTGCAGCCGACAATGTCGTTGATGCACATATAATTGATGTTCATGGAAGACTTCTAGACCGAAAAGCCATGGGCGAAGATCTTTTCTGGGCCATCAGAGGAGGTGCAGGCGGCAGCTTCGGAATCGTCACCGCCTGGAAGGTAAAATTAGTTCCTGTACCATCAGCGGTGACAGTATTCACAGTTACCAAGACGTTAGAACAAGGTGCAACCAAACTCCTCTATAGATGGCAACAAATTGCTGATAAACTAGACGAGGATCTTTTCATCAGAGTTCAAATTCAGACAGCCAATGTCAGTAGTCAAGGTAAAAGAACTATCACCACCTCTTACAATGCCGCCTTTCTTGGTGACGCCAACAGACTTCTCCAGGTAATGAAACACAGCTTCCCTGAATTGGGTTTGACACGACAGGATTGTATCGAAACAAACTGGATCAATTCTACTGTATATATGTCAGGCTTTGCAAAGAATACTCCTCCTGAAGTTCTCCTTCAAAGAATTAACATGGACAGGGCCTACTTCAAAGGCAAATCTGACTATGCCAGAAAATCCATACCTGAAAAGGCACTTGAAGGGTTATGGGAGAAGTTATTTGAAGCAGAGAGTCCTCTAGTAGTGTTTACTCCTTATGGTGGAATGATGAACCAAATTTCAGAATCTCAGACTCCTTTCCCTCATAGAAAAGGTACCAAGTTCATGATCCTTTACTGGTCCAGTTGGCAAGATGCAACAGAAAACGTTGCAAAGCATATAAATTGGACAAGGAAGGTTTACAGTTACATGACACCTTATGTCTCGAAGAATCCTAGGGAAGCATATGCTAATTACAGGGATCTCGATTTGGGCATGAACAGAAATTCTAACACAAGTTTTGTCGAAGCGAGTGCTTTTGGTACCAGCTACTTCAAGGATAACTTCTACAGGTTGGTGCATGTGAAGACCAAAGTTGATCCTGATAATTTCTTCAGGCACGAACAAAGCATCCCACCTCTTCCAAAACAAATGGGATTAGGAAATGAAGTGGAATTCATCTCCAGCAAAGCTTAGTTGGATCACTATTCTCACAAGTCATGATTGGAGCAGGGACTTTTTATTTTTAATACCATAGCTAAATAAAGAAATGTCATGTTGTGCAGTCATGCTGTCTTGCGGTTTTTTATTATAAATAAAAGCTTTGCATTAACTAGTCCAATTTGTTGAAGAAGAATGTTGAAAAATATTTAAAATAAAAATGATCAACAAGGAAACACCATTCTTGAGGTTTGGCGGTTTTGCCACTGTTTTCATCAACCTTACAAAGTTAAAATTAAAATTAAATTAGGGGGGAGAGAGATTCATGGTCTATTGTCCAATACTTATCATAACTAGAAAATTATCAAATATAAATAAAAATACTAATAAAAAAACTTGTTAGTAAATCACAATAACTTTTATCAATGGAATATTTCCTCATGATCCTTGTTTATGTCTCTTTATGAAAGCATATAATCTATCTGCTTAGCTAGATCTACTTCTGAATACTCGACTGAATAGGCTCTTTATGTTTAGCTTCTCTGTCATGTCTCTTGAACCTTGTAACATCTCATATCGCTCCACTCTTGCATCACAAGGTGAGATGATATTCACAATATCTATCTTCATAAAAAATACCTAACTGCTTTGATACCAATTAACGTAGCTTATTAAGTTTTAGGTTACAATCTAAACTTTAGAGAAAATATATGTTTTATAAATTCTAAATAATATGAAGTTTTAACTTTTGAATAATTTATTCTAGAAATAACTTAGTGTTAAAAATTGATTTAAATCATGTGTTGGGATCTCATCTAATAGTTTAAATTATTAGATTAAAATAGTTTTTTGACATGGTATTACAACTTTGATAATCAAGTGATTACAAGTTTAAATTTCATAATTTTTATTTATTTAATGTGAGTCTATGCAAGCTTTGTCACAATCTAATTTTTGATTATTTTATTTTATTTTATTTTATTAAAAAACAACAACAACAAAAAAATGAGGAATAAATCGAAATTTGGGCCAAAAAAATATCAATTGGAAATTTGAGGACTTAATTGGACTTGGAATTATTTAATTAATGGAATCAGGGATCCAATTGATAAATATCAGAAGTTCAGGGGCCAAGTTTAAAATAGCAACCAGACATAAACGACGCCATTTTGAACCACTATTCATCATCTCCTCATCCTGAAGACCTGATCAACAGGAAACATTGCCAGCAGATCATGGAACACGATCCCTTACAGAATGTGCCTCATTTCTGAAGGCATGAACACATGTCAAAGTGCCTTGCATATTGCAAGGAATCAAGTGAACACATGATCTTCTCTGGCTTTATAAAAGCCAGAGAAAGGCCTCACATGCATGGGGGGTGAACTTGTAAAGTCATGTAATTAGGTGGCATAATTAATGGGATTTGAGTGGGAGATGAGTTGTAATTGGTGGAGGATGAGTGGAGGATGAGTTGTTAGGCATATATTCCTCCTAAATTTATGACCATTATACCCTCACTCTTGCCTATAAATAGGCAATGCATTCAAGCCTATATGCACA